CTCCATTCCTTCTCCTACGTACCTGGAAGAGGAAATGATTTATTAAAATTTTAATAAAGTAAGTGATCAAATATTCTAGCAACTTCTATCCAAAAAACAACAATTTCGAAAGATTAGTGCATTGTTGTATCATAGTATTCTAGTACTGCAATAGAGTATTGCGATGATGTAATGGAAGTATAGCAAAATGATTTCTTAGTAACAAATTCTGATATACTGTTCCATAGTTTTTAGTCTTGAAATTGATTTCAATCTATTTTATTAAGGAGTATGCCATCTCTTCTAAAAAATTTAAAAATTACTAAATATGCTTTTATGTTTTTCTTTACTGGCTGAAATTTTTTTCAAAAACTAACCAGTGTACAAAAGCTCTTTTTGCATACATCAGGTCAAACTTGTGGTCGAGTCTGGCCCATGCTTCAGCAATAGCTGTAGTATTTGAGAGCATACATACGGCTCGTTGTAATTTCGCCAGATCGGCACCTGGCACGACTGTTGGAGGCTGATAATTGATGCCAACCTAAAATTAAAAACTTTCTTAAAAACTAAAAAGCGGAAAAAATGATTAAGTGGTCGAGTTGCGCAGAAATTTTCCCCTCAAACAATCGCCTTTTCGTTGTTGGCCGCTAAGCTGCACAAGCAGCACCTTATATACCACTCGTTTGCCGCCATCTCCCGCCTAACTGGTCTCTAGGTTAGAGGCGATAAATGATCCACTAATCCATGCAGATTATACTCACTGAATAACTATTTGTACTACATGGCGGGTCGAGGAAACGTCTTACACGAGCGGAGGACATTAGAAAGCTTAATTTCAATGCATCTCGTTCTTAAACCGACTTTTGCGTTTAAACACTCGCTTCCTGCGATTCTGCTTGAAGCAGGGTTGCGTGCACTATGTTTACGAAAATCCATTTTGAAATTTGTCTATTACATGATTATAACATTTGCTCAATTGCTTAATTATGGTTTTCACTCTGCAAAGTGAAATAAGTCACCTTGAATCCGGTTGGAGACCAGTCTACGAATTGGATGGTTCTCTTGGTTTTCACAGAAGCAATCGCTGCGTTGACGTCCTTCGGGACCACATCACCACGATAAAGCAGGCAGCAGGCCTAAGGAGGAATTTGCGTTAGAATTAAAATTTTATAGAGATTCTTGTAGTGATTGGAAAGAGCATGATGTACATTATGAATCACCTATTTGAAGGTATTGAAAAGAAGGTGAACATAAGTTTCCAATTCTTTGAAGTACTTAAAATTGTCAAAATTAATCACTGATGTTCTTTTTATGACTAGCTATTAGTAAAATTTCCATTTTTGTGTTTAGCAAGTCGTTCATAAGAAGTGAACAACAGAAATTTGTGTTTTTGCTTACCATGTATTTACCTCGTCTAGGATCACATTTCACCATTTGTGCTCCTGGTTCGAAGCATTGCTGAGTTATATCGCTGACCTAAATCTGTATATCTTAGATTCTACCTTATATATACTTCATTAAAGCACACTTGTAAAATAAAATTTAGTTGAAACTAGAGCTTAAGTATGTTAAGATTTACTTTAAGAACTTCATTCTGATTATAGATAGTTAGGTGAAAGTTATAACGTGTTTGACTTTTGTTCTATAAAGAACCCAGTAGAATGATCATCAATCCACAGGATTTCTTAAGCAAGCAAAAGTGTTCAAATATTCTTAGCATCTTTGAGTAGGACATAAGGTACACAGCGAAGCTTTAGAATTCGTTATTGTTCTGATTACCTCTTCTTCGAAGGATGTCATGATTTGGTTTATTTGACATCTACAATTTGTCATATTGCTAAGCGTAAGCAAAACCAAATTTGCTTAAGATTTGACCTATTATGTAATCGAAATAAATTAATCAAAATACTCCACAATTGATATGAGACTTATGCCCAGTTAGATCATCCATTCTGAGGCTTCCTTTTAAATGCTTGTGCCGTACATATACCTACCGTCATCTGCTCATGGTATGCCTTCTCTGCTGAGATTATTGGCGCGAAAGTTGTGAGAGGAAAGTGAATCCGTGGGTACGGAACCAGGTTCGTCTATAAAAAAGAGAAATTATCATCTAAAGTCACTACAGGACGAGTTACCTGGAACTCTGTTAAATCCACGTTAAGGGCGCCATCGAACCGTAGCGATGCAGTCACTGAACTGATGACCTTAACATTAAATATGTAGATAGCGAAAATGAGATTCTAAAGAGAACTTGACTGGAAACTCTTTTTTGGCTAGAACTATCTAAAAGTGTTAGGTTGAGAAAATAATGTGCGTTTGCGGTGGCAGCTAACATTACTTGAAAGTTAAAGAAACTGTTTTAGCTAGTATCTTTAAAATTTAGTACATAATCTTTACAATCAAAGCCTTTCGATGACCTGCACTTTCGTTAAATTTTTCAATTCATTATGATTCCACTAAACCGCATGAAAAGGCAAAATCAAACAACTTTCGAATTTATACTAGAAAACAGCAAAAAAAGCTTTGGTGGCTCCTATAAATTTGGCTCCACACTATTAATATACACAGTATAAAGTGGTTGCTCGAAATTCTTTAGTAGAGGGCCAAAACCTTGACTATGGGAATGTTGGCAACTATCGGCATAGACAACCAGTTAGGGTGGCATGGCACCGCTTAAGAAGTAGTATAGAAATAACAGGCGAGAATGGTGGTTAAGCGAGTTTTTGGCCGGAATTATTTCATTGCAAAAGCCAGAGTATTTTACATACGCTCTATACAATTTGGGTGAGATCGACTACCAAACTCTGCCTACTTCGCCTACTACTCGAGCTTCTTGCAACCAACAACCATAAATTTGGACCGCATAAATG